CTGAAATCAGACCAAGAATTTTGTCTCTGTGACCACAAGGTATCTTTCTAGTTTCAATTTCCATCTTTCCAACCATCCAATCAATTAACAAGTTACAGTGAAATACATGATCTTGTCTAAATATGGGCCATGAATTATCTATCATTAGATTATCATTGACTGCACTTTTTCCCACAGATCTCAGAGAAGAAACCTAGATGACTACTCCCTAACTTCTTTCCTATTATGGTTCTGGGTTAGTCTACCAATAAGAGGCACTCATGTAAGATTGGAAAGGAAAGCAGTATTATTTTCAAGCACAGTTGTTAACAGCTATATAGGCTGAGCTTGAGGATTCTATGAAATTGCTAAGATTCCCTATGGCTTCCAGGTGAGCTCTTGTGAACCAAATAGCTTCCAGCACCTGTTTCTATGACCTTTAGGCCTCTCATTCTTCTCACAGTTGTGAAAACCTATGACATCTTGACATCTTGTATTAAAATACATCTTACTTGGAATAACTAGAGGAGTTTCTCTTATTTTCACCAAAAGCTGACTTATACAGTACATCCCTTTGGGAGATAAAATAAGCTTACATTTTATTTGTTTTTTATTTTATTTTATTTATTTTTTTAAGATTTTATTTTTAAATTATCTGTCCACCCCATGTAGGGCTTGAACTCACAACCCCAACTCAAGAGTCATATGCTCTACTGACTGAGCCAGCCAGGTACCGCCCCCCCCCCCATAAGCTTACATTTTAAATTGAATTTTAGTGTTTCATATTTCTACTGAAATTTTTAAAAATCAACTGCAAATTTTTCATAGGAAATAATAAAATACTAAAAGAGAAAATTCCCTCTAAAATGTCATTAAAATTGATGTGGTATTCCAACTAATCTTACGTAAGAACATGCAAATTATTTAGTGACATCTGTGTATCTCCACAGTTCTATTCACTGGTATTCAAAATTAAGCTTTTTTTTTTTTTTGAGTTGTGTCATAAGGTCTGAGATCTGGTCATGTATGACCTAATATCTGAAAAAAATGACTCTGAAAATTTAGGTCCATATAATAAAACAAATAAGCTCCATTTTTTTGCTACATCATGGCCCTAGAAATTGCATCAAAATGTACAGAACATCTTATTTTCTTTTTTTTTTTTAAGATTTTATTTATTTATTCATGAGACACACACACACACACACACAGAGAGAGAGAGAGAGAGAGAGAGGCAGAGACACAGGCAGAGAGAGAAGCAGGCCCCATGCAGGGAGCCTGATATGGGACTCAATCCTGGGACTCCAGGATCACACCTGGAGCTGAAGGCAGATGCTCAACCGCTGAGCCACCCAGGCAACCCAACATCTTATTTTCTATAAACAAATGATATGCTTGCAAGATAAGCTTCTAACCTATAACACTTTAAATAAGTTCTAGCTCTGGCTAATAATATGTTATAATGACAGAGGTGTAAACGCCATAAACCTCAACCATAAGGTAATAAATATCTGTATGATAGGCTTCTAGAGAAAGAAAAATTATATACATAATACCAAAGGGTTGTGGAAAAAGCATATATCATATGAAGACTACAATTCAATTTTATTATGATCTTGACATTTATACAAAATATAGTATATGCTTATTTTATTAATTTAATTATTAAATTAAATGCAAACTTATCTGTCTTATTTAACTTGAATAGAACTTGAAATAAATGGTTTAAGAGATGAGATTTGAATGGCCTCGGTTTCTTTTAAAAAACCTGATGGTTTGACTCTGGTTGTATGTCTTATTTTACTCTATGTTCATTCAAAAAGATACTGGGGATCTGGGAACTTGTTCCAAAGTTTCAACTATTATTTATAAAATACTTACTGTGACCTAAAACAATTTGAAAACCTGAGTAAGAGTTTAATTTTAATTAAAGGTATCAATTCTTATATAGCATCTCATTGTTCATTATATAACACCTCTACCCCCCCCCACACACACACAGACACCCTTTACAGACTATAACAAATTGAAATAATTAAATGTTCTGAGTGTATTTATGGCTCTAGTTATCTCTACAATGATCAGAATCATATTTAAAGGGTAAATATAATTTACTATAATCCAGTGATTACAAAACACCTATAACACCATGGAATTTGCAGACCACTTTCATTACTTTTATTCTATCACAGTTAAGGGACAAACATTAATGAATATCTTTTCTAGACATTCCATAATCACCTAATGAATGTAAATAATCAACAATGGAAAATGTCAAGACTGGCACTATCCTATAATCCCATAAACATAATGCACCAAGGGTTAGAAAGTAAAGATAGAAACTGTGGCCAATAACTGAAGGTTGGAACCTTTTGTCATAGACAAAGGATGGGTCTCAAGAATAACAATGATCTCCTATGTGATGAGTACCTCTATCCTGTTTAATCTCCTTCTTCATTGTCTTTAACTTTACCATAAGAAATACACATGACTTTATCTGGATGCTCATCTTTCATAAAATAAAGAGGTTTGTTTTGTTTTTTTATTTATTTACAGAATATATTGCATTGATACTGATAAACTACAGAAAAGCCACAAAGCTGCACATACTGCACAATCAGGAATGTCCTTCTTAGCTAAGAGGATACATTTCACATTAACATGGACCATTAAAACTCAAGTCTTTATACATTAAATGACAAATTAACAACAAATGTTAATTTCACAAAACCTCATAATCTGAAAATATGCTTTTCCTCAGAACTTTTGTCTTCATCCTCCTGTCCACCTCCGAATGCTTCCTGCTTTGGTCATAGGTGTAGTTGCAGATGCTCCCTCAGAAAATATGCTCAATTTATCTCTATGTTTCAGCCTCAACTCTTTTTTTCTTTTTTCAATCTCCTTTACAGGATCCAGATTGAGTTCTGACATGAGTCAATATTTCCCAATGCTGGTATTATGTCATATTTATGTATTCATTCAATTTTTAGCTATCAAGATTTTGCTGGGTGTAATTCAGTGTGTGCACAGCTCTGGACACTAATGCAACCTCTTCCCATCTGTGTGTCCAGCCACAGCTCAGAGAGCTTCTAACTGCCTTTTCCATCTTTGTTCACTCCTAATATACCCTTTATATTCATTACACATTCAGAACTTTTTTGAGTTCAAGAAGAAAGATTGGTTGTTTTTAAACAAATACCATGTGTCAGACACTGAGGATCCAGTAGTGAAACAGTCCCAGCTCTTAAGAAATTTACAATGTAATGTAAGAGACAGAGCAAGTTAACAGGGAAAAACACTTTTTCTTGATACATTTAGAAATATGTGTTACTTTGGGGTGTTACTGGACACCTAGGAGGCCCAGCTACTGCAGTCTGGGGGTATCTGGGATGCTTTTAATCACTACAGCACATTTCAAAGATGAAATATCACCGACATGTAGATAAAATTGGACTAAAATGTTGCTTATGGATTCTACTCATGTCTGCAAACCCACAAAATAAGCTTATGAAAACAATTTGCTGTATAAATAAATGGACTAATGTTTAAATTAACAAGGCCAACCTTCTGCAGCTCAGCACTGAAGACCTTCTCTTACCAGTATAACTTCTCTCTTCTATGACACATAAGGTCACTGCAAATAAAATAGAGGCCCCTGGACTCAGTGGTGTCCCAGGGTTGTAGGTCACTCCAACCATTCCAAGATGGAATGACCTTTACCTTCAAGAATAACCTCTGGAAACAATGCTTCACACTTTTCAGATTTATGTTCACACTCAGATTGTACAAGTGATTGCACATGTGGGTATCTGGTCACAAGGAAGGTCACTGTAGGGAGCACACTGATGTGAACCACGACTGCGGCCAGCCCCCCAGGGTAGCACACTCAGCAAACAGATAATCTTGCAGTTATGTACAAGATAATATGTTTATGTTCAAAAGCAACAGTAATATGTGAAGTTCACAAAGTGCCTCTGCCATAACATTCCTGAAAGTCCAGAGGACAAAATTTATTCAGAATGGTTAAATAAATTGCAAAGATCAGACAACTGATCTTTGAAGTTCTGAAGGCAGAACTTCCTGGTGGCAGATCCTGGGTTCTTCTCACACCCCCTCAAAGCTTTCCTCCCTCAAGGCCTTAATGGTACGAAACAAAGCATATGCTTTGCAGTGACATTAAAGTTGAAGAAGGAGCCAGCATAGTACCATGCCTTGAAAGAGATCAGACTTCCATTTCTGAAGAAAACCATCTAATTGTCATTTTAATTTTTTTTAAATTTTTATTTATTTATGATAGTCACAGAGAGAGAGAGAGAGAGGCAGAGACATAGGCAGAGGGAAAAGCAGGCTCCATGCACCGGGAGCCCGATGTAGGATTCGATCCCGGGGTCTCCAGGATCGAGCCCTGGGCCAAAGGCAGGCGCCAAACCACTGCGCCACCCAGGGATCCCTAATTGTCATTTTAATACAAGCCAAATCTCTCATTGACTCGTTCCCAAATTATAGAAAAAATTAAATAAACCATGGGCCAGAACAACTGAGAAAATAAGCAAAAATGCAGAGGAGTGTGGAAATTCCATTTTTAACAATAGCTTTTTCAGAAAAGGAAAGCCAGACAAAGCAGTAATACCTAAGAGGCTTGTCTGGACTCCATTTCAATATATATATATATAGTATGTGTTGGCCCATTATAAATTATCTACATCCACAGAGATGAAGAAGGCACCCAAACATAACTATTTAGAAAGGCACTGAGCAGGAATTCAGAAACCCACTGAGCAGAGAGCCTCCATCACTGGAACCCTGGGTATTGAAGACACTGGTATTTGGTAGAAAGGAAGTAGGTTTTACCCAAGTGCTCTTTCACTCAATTCAACTATTACAAGGAAACTCTCTACATAAATAATAACTCCCCATTATTATTGTTATTGTTGTATTTACAGAGTCATTGGATAGATTTTTCAAATGTAGTTATTCCAATCTATACAATAAAGGCATGTTGGTTAGGGGAAAAAACAAACCTGTTCTCTGAGAGCTTTAATGGTTTTTTGAATTTCCACCGCAAAACTGCTGAAATCTTGGGCAAACTTTGTTTTTGCCAGAACTGTCATATTTTTACTATCTTCATCAATGTACAAGTGATCTTGCTGCCTGTTTACACAAGAGGCAAATAAAATGCTGTAAAAACAGAAGTTCCATGGTAAAAAAAAAAAATCAAGAAATATTCCCCAGGCATTGGAATGTACATGACATTGTGACTCCTGTTCTGTGTGGCCATAAAAAGATGTGACTGGAAATATAAATTGAAATTAAATGACATATAAGAAGATAATCCAGAGGCATCCCTGGGTGGCGCAGCGGTTTGGTGCCTGCCTTTGGCCCAGGGCTCGATCCTGGAGACCCCGGGATCGAATTCTACGTCGGGCTCCCGGTGCATGGAGCCTGCTTCTCCCTCTGCCTATGTCTCTGCCTCTCTCTCTCTCTGTGTGACTATCATAAATAAATAAAAATTAAAAAAAAAGAAGTAGAAGAAGATAATCCAGAGAGTCACATCTGTTTCACATATTTTACTTAAAATGATAAAGAAGTATTTCTTAGGAAATAAAGGGAATGCCAGGTAGTATTACATATCTATTTGACATATTATTTAGATCTCAAATTATGTCTTTTGCTAAAAATTGTTCACTTTGCAGTGACAAATTAAATATTATATATTATATAGCATCCAGCTGGGAAAGTTCCTTGCTCTATTATAAATTCATAGCAAGAACTAAATTAAGTTAAGAACACTAGTCTGGCAAAAATCTAATCTTAAACCAGATGCAAAATAGCTCAGTATTGTTGATAATAAAAGGAAATAAAAAGTCTTGGGCTGAATTTAAAATAAGATTCCTAGAGCCTAACTGAAGCTCTCAAAAGACAGAGGTAAATAATGAGTTTGGGAAATTGAAAGTTCCATCCATCTGTGATTACAATATATTATTAAAAATATTTATATATAGATTTGATTTAGTTGATATACTATTCATCTCTCAAGTTTTCTTTTTTCCCCCAAATTTTGTTAAAAGTTCTTTGTGAAGAAGCTGTTGTAACTTCAAATTGTTCTGCTTTGTTCTGATTGACATATATCTTCTATTGGTCAATAAAAAAATGGCTTGCCAGACACGGTACATTCTAGGAATGTGAAAAACAATTCCTAAGCGGATTGCTCCACCCTAGAGGACATATTACTTTATTCAATGCACCTAGCTGTGCTGAGAAAGTCTCCAAGCAGCCCTATTTTTCAGATGAGAATACTGTAACTTAGAAAGTTGTCAATATGTTCATATCATAGAGCCATCAAATTGCAGAGCAGGATGCAAATCAGGATTTTTAAAGACAAAATTTAGAAGTCCTTTCTTAATGTAGTGACATGGACATTTTAGGCCTGATCATATTTGTGTTTTAGATAGTGCAGAAGGAGAGAAGATAGACAAGGATACCAGTTAGGCAGATTATTGGGGGTGAGGTGAAGGGAGGTGAGGGGGAGGATGGAAGGAAAACATAGACATTATGGATGTTGCTATATTTTAAATTTTTTTTATTTTAGATTTTATTTATTTATTTATTTATTTATTTATTTATTTATTTATTCATGAGAGACACACAGAGAGAAGTAGAGAGATAGAGGGAGAAGAAGGCTTTTCACAAGGATCCTGATGCAAGACTGGATCCTTGGGCTGGGATCACACCTTGAGCCGGAGGCAGACGCTCAACTGCTGAGCCACCCAGTGTCCCGCTATATTTTAAATTCTAATTAAAAACATAATGCTCAGCATAGAATTTGTAAGAAAAAGAAATAAAATTTATCAAGTTAAACTGATGTTAATTCATGAATAGTTTATTGAAAAGATAGCTCAATTTGTGACCAAGAGAGGATAAATACAAGAAAGATTGATGTGCAGAGAAAAGTAAAAGTGAAATTATAGCCTGAGAGATCTGTGCACATTGAGTGAAGGGATTTGGCCCTCTTTGGTCTAAGCAAGTCTTATATTAAGCACAACAGAACTATTTACAAAAAGGTTACTGAAGTGTATATAGTTAAAAGACAGAACAAACCTTTTTACTATCATATCAACAATAAACAACAAAGCTCTGGGAGCACATGGAACAGATTTAGTTTCCTTAGACTGGAATTTAAGGCCTTTCTCTCTCTGCCTAAATCTCCTTTTATAGAACATTCTTCCAGAATGCTCTTCATCCCTAAGCATCGAACACACCAGTCCTTGAGAGTCACAAGCTTTACCATTCCCCAAACACACCTAACTCTTCCCCGCCCCTGCCACTTTGCTCACTGTTTTTTCAGACTGGGAAGCCTTAAACCTTCATCAAAATCTTACTATCTTTCTTAAGGTATGACCTGTGCATAGGCTATGTAAGCCCAGTAGAATTATCCACACCTTGTTCTAAACTACATAACATTCTTATTGGATTTCATATCAGGACTTACATGAACACTTTGTTTAAAGAGCTGATATTTGTATATAGCATTTAAAAAATATATGGCATAAAGTAGCACTGTTTGCTATCCTTTTATGGAATGCCTATAAAATGCCACATCCTACATTACCATTAAGTGCTTTACATATATATATTTCCAACATAATAATCCCATAAAGTCAGTATTATTATGACCATTTTACAGCTGAGGAAACTGAGACTCTGAAATTTGACATATTTGTGGTTATGCAGTAGTGGAAACGGTGTGAACCTGTGCCAGAATCTGAAGCTTCACCCATCCCTCTTATCAGATGGCCCTACCTTCTCTCCTAGACTATAAATCTTATAAGACAGAGACCATGTCTTGTTCATTTCTGCAGACTTCACAAATTCTCACTTGTGATTGAGGGCAGGATCTCCAAAAATGTACTTTGAATTTGACTGAATTATAATACTTAGGAGGCTGCTACAAAGACAAAGTTAGTAGTTTATGGTAACAAAGTGTCTTCAATAGTATTTTTCCTAGGGAGCTGTGAATTACAATGTTTTTATATTTGTTTTTCATAATTTAATTATACAAGCATCTACTGAATATTTACTCAGAAGGAGCTATTGCATATACCCATGTTCAAGTCATTGTTTCTATTTTCAGAAACTTCCAAGACAATTGTGAGGAGAAACTTTATAAAGAAGTAATTATAGATGAAGCTTATATGTAAGTGTCACAAGAGATTAATCTGAGATCCTAACAGATTTCAAATGAATAAGACTGACATTTCTTGATTTCCTAGGGGTTCAAAAATATTCCATCTTGGTCACAAATTAAGCCTTCCTTGCAATACACTATACATGCATTAAACTCAACTTAACTTGACAAATATTATTACTTTTCTTAAAACAATATGCTGACTTTCCTATTTTCAAAAATAATTAAAAAAATAGCAATACCCATAACGTGATTTAAGGAATGAAAAATAACATTTACAATGTACAATTTTCTATACTTTATTGAGAAATAGTTATTGTGGAGCATGCCCTAGATATGCTTTTCCAGAGTGAAAAGGAATCCATATTTATTACAAAATTCATTTATTTGTTCATTGTTGTGTAATTTATCCTACACATATATGAGTCAAGTATGGTTTCTATAAAGCCCCTCAAATTGTATATCTGAAGTAAATCTATGATAAATATCCCAAAGAAATTAGACATTTCTATACATACCTACTAATTAGATCACTTAACTCTTTATCTTTCTCATCAGGATAGCTGTATTGAGCAGAGCGTTTCTTTCGAGATTCTTGCGTGAATGTTCTGAACTGTCCTCTACTTCTACAGTCTGTGGGGAAAAAGTATCCACATCAGCATAGTGTGAGATTGGCATCACCTTCCCATCTAAAGCATCTGTTTAACTAGGGAGGGAGATGGACAGCTATTCAGTCAGTTCAGTATTGCTAAGTTATAGGTTTCTGGTTTTCGATGTGGCTCCATCTCTGTTTTTGCCAAGGCAGATGAGACATCAAGGAATTTGCAAAATCTGTAGAGACTCCACAGGGAGAGCAAGCTGAATCAGAGCAAAGACACTGATCACAGGGTACATTTTGTTCACTAAAAGACTTGACAATGGGGAAAAGGGCAAAAACATGGTAGACAGAATGCTTGAAATTCTGAGCTCCTCAAATTACTTTATCAACACCTGCTACCAACTTGAGACTATTTTTTTAATGACCTCTACTGCATAACAATGTCCATATAGTTAGTTAACACTGCTGCACACTTAAAATGGTTAGCATAGTAAACTTTCTGTTATGTGTTTTTGCCACAATAAAAACACATGAGAATGTTATGAAAATTTTTATATAAATATGAAACAAGAAATTCTCTTTAAATTTCATCTGAAAACAGTTGAATTAGAAACTAGGTACACTGAGGAGAAGAAAAACAATGATGCAGGAGCCTACCTTTCCAGATGGTAAAACTACTATATATCAAACAAAAAAAGAAAAGAAAGAAAAAGAAAGAAAGAAAGAAGAAAGAAAGAAGGAAAGAAAGAAAGAAAAGAAAAGAAATTTTATTTATTTATTCTTTAAAAAAATTTTAAAGACTTTATTTATTTATTCATAGAGACACAGAGAGAGAGAAGCAGAGACATAGGCAGAGGGAGAAGCAGGCACCATGCAGAGAGCCTGACGCGGGACTTGATCCAGGGTCTTCAGGAACACAACCCGAGCTGCAGGCAGCGCTAAACCACTGCACCACCAGGGCTGCCCAAGAAAAGAAATTTTAATACTGGTGGAAAAAACAGATCGAAACGGAACATGATAACCATCCCAGAGCATTTCACTCTGAACTTCAGTCTAAAAGATTACTCTGGACAGCATATATTGGAAGGGAACAAGGGATTACCCTATAGCTTTTTCTGTGGGCAATAAGCAAGTTATTTCTTAGGGAAGGGGAAGTAAAGACAACTAATCTGCACCTTAGCATAGATAAGTTAAAATCAAGAGGAATATGTCCTATGATAAATTGTTAAGCAAAGCTGAAGATAAAATTTAAGTTGATATTTTAAATAACAACAAAAAACTGCAAATGCTATAAAATTAGACACTAAATAAAAGTAAAACTTTATTATGCAATATGAACTCACCAATATTAAAACATATAGAAAATAAACTGAAATGACAATATGCCAAAATGGAAACAGTGATGTGTCTAAATCATTGGATATAGTTGTTATTTCTTTTTTTCTTATTCTACCTCTATCCTTTGTTTTGTCTCAGTTTTCAATAAGAAAGTCATAATTTATATAATTTTTAAAAAGTAAATGCAGGTGGCTCAGTCAGTTAAACATCTCCCTTCAGCTCAGGTCATGATCTCAGGGTCCTGGGATGGAGCCCAGCCTGGGGCTCTCTGATCAGTGGGGAGTCTGCATCTCCCTCTCCCTCTGCCCCTCCACCCAGCTTGTGCACTTTCTCTCTCTCAAATGGATAAAAAAGATCTTTAGAAAGAAAATAAAAACAGTAAATGTAAGTAAGCAGAGAGAAATGGGTTATTCCAAAGTCTGAGTCACTTCAGTGGAGTGAGCGAGCACTGGGACAGACCATGGACAATCAAGGAGGAACGTGGAAGAATGTGGAAGTAAAAGTAAAGTAAAGTAAAGTACATTACACAGGGACAGAGATGTACTCAAGAAGGATGGTATAACTCTTGGCAATAACAAACTACCACAGCCGGGCAAGCTTTGCCAATGAACTGGTGGGAAATGCATGCTGCTGAAGATGTTTCGTGTATTACTTATAAACTATAGTATCCACATATTATAGATAAATCTATGTAATATACTAATGGATCTATACATGCCTACTTTTACACCATCACCTCAACCTAGCACCTTATCAATAACTAATAATCCATAAATATTTGCAGATCTGGGTGAGAAAAAATAAATAGAAATGAAAGCAGAAAGAACACAGCTAAAAAATATAGGATTCACTCATGTAATAAAATTTAGCTTTTCTATTTCTGAACAGTATATAATTTTTGTGAATAAATATTTATGTGGAACTTAGACTAAGCACTACAGAGAAAGTAAAAATAAGTAAGGCCTGGCTCTTGGTTTTGAAGAATTTGTAAGTGGAAAAACACAGCATTCCCACTTAAGCCAAATATCTCCCCTTCTAATCTCCATTTAAAAGTGAAAAAGTATAGATAATAAAGGGGCTGCAGGTCATTTACATTATCTTTTGTCTTTCATTTACTTTTTAGGAAGACAGAACTTTAGAGTTTATTTTAAAGCACCAATAGAATATGCAAGGTTATTTACATAAAACCCAAAAGCAAAGAGTTGCTTTGTAATGTAACAGGTATATAGTGATGCGCATATGTGAACAGAAACATAAAGAAGCACTCTTCCCCACCCTTTCCCACCAGAGAATGAGTGCTGAGAGTGGGGTGGGCAGCTCACTAGTGTTACAATGACCATGCAGCTCTTTTAATGTGACAGCTGTTTCATTCCTGACATCTTTTTTTTTTTTAAATTCACCTTGGTATTCATCCCTAGTTATTGCTGAAAAGGCAGAGCATCCTTGACAGCTGAATGTTTGGCTCTTATGCAAACAACATTTGAATTTAAACAGTATGTTAATTTGGTAGGTGCTTTGGTTTTTACCTATGCATATATATCTTATGTAAATATGTATATACACTTGTTCAAACTCTGTTCTTAGGCCTAACATCAATTATTAATTTGAAATTTTATAGTAACATGTGGTGGGTATTATTATCCTTACTGGTAACTTGAAATTAAGAGAGGTTACATTACCTTCTTCAAGGTACTACAGCTATTTTTTTCTAAGATTTTATTTATTTATTTGAGAGAGAGAGAGAGAGAGCACAGAGAAGGAAGCAGACTCCCTGCTGAACAGAGTGCCCTATGTGGGGCTCGATCCAAGGACCCTGAGATCATGACCTGAATTGAAGGCAGACACTTAACCAACTGAGCCACACAAGTGCCCCTGTACTACCACTTTTTATGGAAGAGTTAGGATTTGGATCCAGACATTTTTGTCTCTAAAGTCCAACTTCTTAACTGCTACACTACAGCAAGGAATGAGAAAAATGGAAGAGTAAATCTCCTAGATATGTGTTTTATTCAACTTTGGAATAATGTACTATTTGTTAACTGAATGAATGGATGAGTGAAAGAATGGATGGATGAATGGATAAATGAATGAATGAATTAATTAATGAATAGATCTAGAGTGGAAGATAAAAGGAGCTAACGAATTCATATTGGCTCAAAAATACTGTCAGTTTTCTGGTCTACATATGACTTGGTGGTGGGGGATGAAATAAACACAGTAGATACTATTTCAAGACACCAGTAGGAGGTGTGATGAAGATAAAGCAATCTGACTCATTTTTAAGAAATATAATGCAATGTGTGTATGCATGAGTACTTGTAACTTCCCATTCAGTGCAACCTTAGTTGACCCCCCAAACCCATTCATCAGCCTATGAATGAAATCCTAGATGTCTACTGGGTCAAACAAAATCCTTCCCACACATTCTTCTCTCTCCAGCCTCATTTCTCTCTAATATACCATTCATGACTAATCATCCATCTTTATTTGGTCTCTCTCACCTGAGTAACAAACATCACAGGTGTCATGCACTATCTCTAAGAAGCCTTCCTGAACTGCTAAAACCAGGTCAAATGGAAATTCATTACATTCTCTTAGCACTGTGTACATCTGTCTACTCTTCTCCACTGGCTAGGGAGATAGCAGAAGAGAGGGCTCTGTCCTACCTACCAGTTTATCCTCACCACATAATACAGCACCTATACATGATCCACACTGAATAAATATTTTAATAAATGAGTGAATGAAATCAAAGAGGCCAAGTCACTATTTTAAAATATCCAGTTCTTTGTTCTTTTCTGTGTTTAAGAGTTTGATTGCAGGAATTTTATACCAGGTTTTCCACATTTGAAATACATTACTTTGGATAAGCTATTTAAACTTGTCTCCATTCTCTCATCTGTACATGAGGATAATAACACAATTTATCTCATGGAGTTGGTGAGAGAATTAAATGAGTTAAAGGAAGTAAAGCACTCCAAAAGAATATCATCCACAGATTAAGCACAAACGTGGCTCTTATTTTTGGAATAAACTTTAGAGAATAGGATAACTGACTTATTTAGTTCATAAGAAACTTTTCCATAATGTCAAAGTTATAAATGTTTTTGTTCATAAGCATAGAACTGGCATTCAAAAAATATTGTTGAATGGATTAAAATGTAAGGTAATGTGTTTGTAGACAGTTTTTCAAGGTAATTCCAAATGAGCTTAAAAAACAATTTCCCTGAAAATAATTGGTATAAACACTTCAGGACTTTTTTTTTTAATTTACATTTATTTATAGTGAAAAAAAATAGCACAGAATAATTTGCAGAACTTACATAAAAGCAACAATATGCTATTTAAAGGTATTGTCAAATTAAACTAGTAGAAACGTGATGTCAATTTGATGGCTGTGAGTACTAAAAAATGGAAAGTTTATTTCAATAGGTATGTAGATTGCAATCATGTCCCTAAGAGTCCTCACCAAACTCAGATCCCATCTGGTCTGACCCAGAGGCGGACACATGGTAAGGAGACATGTCAGTCAAGGAGTCCTAGACATTAATGATTAATTTAACTGAATCAGAAGATTCTGAAGGCAACAAGCTGCTTTAGGCATAAGCCTGGATATTCTGATATGTTGGAATAGACTGACATTCCTTGATTCAAGTCGGTGAACTGAAGCCACAGTAGCTCAGGTAATCATGCTTGT